CCTCCAATAACCTACGCAGAAGATTTTTGCATAGGCAATGAGGTTTCAGAGACTCCTTTCCAACTAAAGGCCCCTATGCTGCCAGAAAAAAAAAAATACACAAGACTCAGGGGACTCTCCAGAGCTTTTAGACATAGCACAAGAAGGTGTAAGTGGAAAAGAGAAATCAGAGACAACCCATTGCACACACATAAGAGGACTTGAACCCACCCACAACTCTCACTCTCTCAGGATCTCAGCATAGTGCAATATATCGGGGGGGGAGTATCCCCCTCTCTGAAATCACAAATGTATGAGAAGAAATTGTGTTTAGACCAAGTAGAGTACAGACAGTCAAATTTCACATAAGAAAGATACAGAGAAATGATTTCTTCTTTCCTTCCCCACCCTGCACCTTTCACAATAAGACTATTGAATTATACTGAAATTATAGTCTTTACATTGTAAAGCTCCTTCCTGTGACATGAAGAAAATGAACAGCATTAGCTCTGGAACTAGCGTTGCCAGAAATATTACTTTTTCTTCACCTCAGTTAAGAACTGAGGGAGAAAGAGCAAGTCTTGTCCTTTTGATAGTGCCTATTGTTGAGCATATCAAAATCTTGGGGTTAAATCTAGTGGTTAATCAGGACTACAGTAGACCCAATGAAATGTTTTCTGAGTGTTGCCTTAGCAATTCCAGTTTATTCAGTGGGTCTACTCTGGTAGGGACTAAATCAGACTTAGCCTTTGTTTTTGTCCTCCATCAACTTCTATAAGCAGCTTTTATTTTCATTAGGAAATGGCTTGTCTGAGCAGTGAAATAGTTTTCCCTGTCCTTTTTATAACATATTTTTTCTGCTATACCCTCTTATTGGATTCTCTTCTTATTGGAAAGGGACAATGCAACGTTAAGGAAACAGATCATAACAGCCTACCTTTTGCCCTGACTGATGGGCCTTACCTTCTCTACAGTTCAGCTTCCCTGCCCATTTATCAGCTGATCAGTCTCTCTTACAGGCCTTTGGGGGTACCAAGTTGCACCCTTGTTTTCACTGACCAGTGCTAGCCAGGTCTACTGGACTGCAGCTAATTCTGCTGGAAAGTTATGGACTGTTTGGGGGATTTCTTTGCTCTCTTAGAGGTTCCCTCCCCCGGCTTATACTTCTGCAATATCTGGAAATCCCTTGGATCTGCTGACACTTTCTTTTGTAGAACAATTATGCTGTTTTGCTACTTAAGGAGCAGCACTTAAGCTGAAACCCATCAACAGAAGAAGACTGTCTTCCTTTGATGGCCAATAAGATCTTTAAAACATATTCATTCACATGTTGTAAACTTTGTTCATCACCCCAACTTCCACCTGCTATTTTATACTTGTCCAATAGTTAACAGTTATCTGTATGTCACAGCAGGTGCCATCTTAGATGTATTATGAGTCCTTTGAGGGGCAATGCCCTTCTGTGTGATTTACACTATGTAGAGCAGGAGAATGGGGCTGTGTTGCATCCTCAACATCAAGTCCCCTGCATCCCATCCTGACATCTAGGCATTAAGGCACATATCTTAGGAAGGAAAACTGGCATAAGAGTATGTGTCCCTGCCACGTGGACCACCATGGATAGATGAGATCCCTTCCTTCAAACTCCTTAGCCCACATATAGCTCACAGGAGGGCAGCTGCAGCACAATTTTGTTGGAGAAACTGAAGCCCCACTAAAACATCCATTTTGCATCACTCCCACAGCACAGCTTTCCCCCATAGAGGACTCCAACTATAAATGCCACTCCGAGAGGCATGTCCCCAGCATCCAGCAGCCTCTCAGCTATCTTCCCTGAGAACTTAAGGTTGCTGCTTTTACCACACTTTCGTGCTCTTAAAATGCCCTGAAAACATACTGAAACTATGTCGTACTTGAAGATACTGAAACCAATATGGCCCCTGTCCCTTTTTGTAACTTTGCTATGTAATAGTAAGATACTGTTGATACTGAAGGTTAGAGGTGGAGCTGATACTGATTTTATTCTCAGTTTAAACTCTTCCATATTCCTTAAGTGCATATTTCTTAGGTTACAGCAAAGGTCACTCTTCTTAAATTGCCCACTCAAGACTCCATCTCAGGTCAAAATCACTATTCATTTCATACAAAATCTTCATACAGCACTCACTTGCATACAGACTCACTGGATATTTAAATGCTGCACATGAAATAAAACCTAAGTTAGAGCAGTGATCCTGATACCTTTTTAAAATTTCTTTAGGTCCAGCTGGCATACATGCAGACCAACAAGTTCTGGTTTTGGTGCAGTATTTTGCTGTTACTTGTTGTCTACTCATTTTCCCTATTACATAATGTAACAGGGCTCTTATGATGCATATGGTTTTAGAAAACTAGAGTTGTTAAGATTTTCATTTACAGTACTGTAGTAGCTGGATTCTGTTGTTGCTGTGTGCCTTCACACATTTCCAACTTACAGTGACCCTAAGGTGACCCTATCATGGAGTTTTCTTGGCAAGATTTCTTCAGAGGATGTTTGCCATTCCTTCCTCTGAGGCTGAGAACATGTGACTTGTCCAAGGTTACCCAGTGGGCATACATGGCCAAGTAGAGAATTGAACTCTGATTTCTAGAGTCACAGTCCAACGTTCAAACCATTATGCCATGCTGGCTCTCACAATACCCGGATACTAACCTTAAATTTAATTAATTGTGTTCTGTGTTTATTCTGGGAAGAACACAATACTGTAGCACATTTTCTCCATTGTAGTAGTAGTAGTATTTAGAAAGTACATCGATTTATATTCTGTAGCTTTGTCTCTTGTGCCTCTATTTCTCTGAATTTAAAATAAAACTGATCAAGAAAAGCAGTAAAGGATGCTAGAACAGGATGGTAGAACAACCATCACTGCCTTGGATATCCACAATCACATCAAGCTAAAATATATGTATATTGTTTTACAGCCTTCTTCATCCTGCACCTCTCCAGAGAGTTGGCCAGGCCTATGGTCATGTACAATTGGGATTTGTAGGCCAAAGCATTTAAGGACTCAGGTGGGGGACAATTGTTTTTAAAAGTATTTCAATGTCCTCTGTGTATGCCGCCTGGTTTCTCTAGAGAAAACAAAGGCAATGAAAGCCTCAATATTCCATAATTAGCCTAACCTCGTTCTTTCCCTGTTTGATAAGATTTATCAGCATGGAGGGAGCTAAGAAAAACTGAGTGCTAAAGATACACCTCTGTATAAGGCAGTGCTAAGGCAGGGGTTGCAAAGTGGCTTGGTTATAAAGGGGAAAAATTCAGAGTTTTAGGCTCAAAGTCAGACCAAGCAAATTAATAATCTTTCCAACACAGATGAAACTCACTTATAAAAATAGCCATCACAGAGAGAAATCTCAAAATGCTTCAAACAGACCTGACTGCTTCTACTACATACCTACAGCCAGGGAATAAAAATTTGACCATACAAGATGCCAGTCAACCTATGTTTTTCTTCTTGCCAACAAGGCAAACAAACCTGGCAGTACTGTATTTTCTGGTGTATAAGACTACTTTTTAACCCAGGAAAATCTTCTCCAAACTCGGGGGTCGTCTTATACGCCGGGTGGAGGAGGAGGAAGAAGAAGGGGTGGTGCAGCACAAGGCAGGAAGAGGAGAAAGAGAGGAAGGCCAAGCGAGAGGAGGAGAGGAGCAAGGGGTGGCGTGGTGTGGCGTGAGGGAGAAGGAAGAAGCAACAGCGGATAAGAGGTGAACCCCTATCCTGAGGTTTTCTTGGTAAGACTGGTTCAGAGGAGGTTTGTCATTGCCTTCCCCTGAGGCTGAGAGTGTGTGACTTATCCAAGTTCACCCAGTAGGTTTCATGGCAGAGTGGGGAATCAAACCCAGGTCTCCAGAGTGGTAGTCCAACATTCAAACCACTACACCATGCTGGCTCCTATTCCCATGTACTACCTATGAAACAACTGCAGACTTTTTTGTTGTTCCTGTGTGTCTTTAAGTCCTTTCCGACTTATGGCAACCCTAAAGCAACCTTATCATGGTGTTTTCTTGGCATGTTTCTTCAAATGGGGGTTGCCATTACCATCCTCTGAGGCTGAGAATGTGTGACATGCCCAGGGTCACTTACTTGGCTGCAAATTGTACATAGTCCAGAATGCATATATTTGCACTCCTTTCCCCCAACGCTTTTTCATTCCCCCCCCCCCATTGGAATAGGGGTAGTCTTATACGTCGAGTATATCCCAAACTCTAAATTTTAACTGGGAAAGTTGGGGTCGTCTTATAAGCCCAGTCGCCTTATACTCCAGAAAATACGGGTAATTTAATTTATAAGTTCCTACAAGGAAGCAACTGCTACTAACAGAATCTATGTCAGCAAAACAAATGCCAAAGTACCCTATTTCACCATGAGAATTAGTAATTTTTAAGCCTAGGATTTGATAAGGGGGCTGACCAACAGCCAAATACATAGGTGCCTCCAATTTCATGTTTTCTCTCTTCAGCAAGGAGCACAGAAAAAGGAAGACAAAATATGAGATTCTTGTGCCACTACTCTGCTCCAAGAATAACAGGGGAAGTCTCTCAGCAGTACACGAAGATTATTTCACCACCTCCTTGTGTTAGATAAGAAAACATCAGCATGAATATTTTTATCAAGTTATATCCCACTCCTTCCTGGGCTGCAGTGCAAACATTTAAAGTCATTTAATTATAAAGATAAATCAGCTATAAACCCTGGGAAAGTGTGGAAGGGGAAGAAATCAAATAAGGAAGAAAATTGTGAGATCATTTCAATTACCATACTCATTGTTGGATTTCATTTGATGTGGATAGGGCATGTGCACACATAAAACAGGAGCCAAAGGCTGTAGCATTAGGATGCTTGAGAGCAGAACACCTCAAACACAAGGTGAGCCCATCTGCAGAGATTCCAAGCAACTACAGTCCATAGCTATTTTTCAGCCAACGAAAAATGGGGGGGGGGGAATCACTGGATCCCACAGAGCTTTGACGGCCCACTTGGTTTTCAAGTGACCACTGTTTCCTCAAACAGGGGAAAAAACTCCCAGTCTGCAACTGCACTCTGCAATTGACAGCAAGTCACCCCTTACCTCAGAGCTAGTCAGCCAGCAGTCATGCGCTAGAGGCATCATTTGTATTGATTCATCCCCTGCAGACCTCATCATGACTGTCTGTGACTTTTGCAGCAGAACAATACAATACAGTGGAACTGCTGTGCCCTTGCTTCATAAGCACTCAATGCATTTGTGCTGCAGGCAACTCAGATGCTTCACGACTGCTCTGAACTTTGGACTAGCTTGATCTGCTCCCATGTTCAGAGAGCAGTAACAGAGGACAGCCAAAGAGGACCAGAAATGCTTGAGGAGGGGAAGGGAAAGCCATAATTATCTGCACACTTTTCCAGTCCTCTCCCTCACCCCTCTTTTCTTCACATAGGGGGGTTGCAGACTATGGTGAGATAAAGGATGGTAACTAGGTTGACCAGTATTAAGAAGTATCTGTTCCCAATGGGTTTTTATGCCACCATTCTTGGCAGCACTAACTTCCCACCAAATTCAACAGATGATAGGATGGTATGGGAACTGCCTTCCCATTTACAAAGGCAGCCATATTTGGTTATTGAAGGAGAGCCATACCAAGTTACCAGGAAAGCACCAAGTCCATTCTATGCAAGAATACATAGAATATCTATTACAGACACATGAAATCATGCAGTTTCAAAGAGACAAGAGATGAGAATACTAGTAGGTCAGATCAGGCAATACTGGAAATTTTTCTTTTGGGGGGCTATAACTCTCAGAATGCCAGCTGGATTTCTGGAAGCTACAGTCCGAGTATATAACAATTCCAAGCATACAACCTGCTAGTTATAACACCTGCATAAGGCGAAGAATGGAAGAGGGACTGGAACAGGATCTTGCAAAAAGCATCAATGTATTCTGAGACTGTGGACACACACAGAATGTACCACTAACAATGAAAACATCTTAGATCTCTCCCGTTGCCTTCTCAAGGAAGATTAGAAAAGAGATCAGTCCTCACTCAGCAGCTGGAAGTAGGTGGCTCCAATGGAGATTCATGCATGCATAGCAACTCACACAGTACGCTCTGTCAACTGCAGGAGTGGGGTCTTATTCTTTCCCTCTGTCTCTACGTTTTTCTGAAAAGACAGGCTTGTTCTGAACACTTTATTGCTTGAGTGCTCAATCAGACAAGAAAAATTCTAGCTTGCTTTAGAAAATGTGGCTCATCTTTTTTTTTTAAAAAAAAATCCATCCAATCTTGCAGAAGTAGAAAATATTTGATCAGTCCAAAGAAACCATATCAGCAAAATATATACTTATATGTCACAAAGGAATATGAGTGACATGGCATTCTAGTACTCAGAAGGAAATGTCTGTAATTCTAAGTGAGCAGGACAAAACAGAATTTATCCATATCAAAGAAACAGCAAGATTTACAGTAACTAAGATTACTGTATTACAATGGTGAGCATATTTCTGCACATACCCATTACTATGACTGTTGTCCTACTACAAGGCTCCAGTCAGCATGTGGGAGAGCTACTGCCAGCTGTATGGCATACATTAAACTACTGGACCCCAAAAGCATTGATTGTCTAGTGGGATATTCAATCTCTTTTGACCTAACAAACTACTGTACTCCACAGCGTTTCAATAAGCAGTCTGATTCCCAAAATGTTTTTACTGCTCAAGTCCTACCTTAGTTACTGGTTATCAGAACATTATATGATATAATATTAGCTATTTGCAGTGTTATTTAAAAAAAATAGGTTCCATTCAAAATAGAATAAGAAACAGGCTTTTGGTGAAAGAGAAACAAGCAAATGTACAATATACTTTAAAATATTTAATACAAAGTTACTTAGCTTCAAAAAATCTGAGTACTTTTATCCAAGAACTCTTAAATTGAGGTGCATCATCTCCCTCCCCACCCTTTTCACACAATATTTAAGATTATCACAAGCCAGATTTTTTCCCTTTCAAACATGAAGTTTTATTCTTAAGACTGAACCTCATTTTGCTGTTTTTCACTTTACTGCACCTAAAGTACTGATATTGTACATCAGAGTTGGAAAAATGAGGCCCTCCAGATGTCATTGGACTGCAACTCCCAGCATTCCATACCATTGGCTCTGCTGGCTATAGCTGAGAAGAGTAGCAGACCAATAATAGCTAGGTGTATTACCTTTAAAAAATGAACCCTTTAAAACAAAAGATCACATAGTTTTAGTCCTATGTAGTAACTATGGAGAGATATATCACCTTTGTGGGTTTGCTTACATCTAATTTACCCATATTTGTTTTTTTTCCTGTATATCCAGCTGAACCTATTACATTGACTCAGGCAGTACATTAAAACTAAAAAAGTAGAATGAAACAAATATGATATTAATAAGGTAAGGATAAGCCAACCTACTGATCTCACACTGTTTTTTTAAATGTTAATTTTTATAGGTAAGCCCCTTCCGAGTCTTACAAAATGTTGAAAAAGCAGGTGCCAAAGATGCATGCAAATCAGACCAGAGGCTGAATGCCACCATGATTAAATTTGTCTAATGTAGACATTTTGGTTATTTCTGTTCCTAAAAACAAGATACGGGGAAAACATGGCTTCCTTTACCATAAT